GGGGAGAGGCGGGTCACATATTGAAACAGACAGCCACAGAGGTGCAAGGCAGCCCAGGCAGAGAAATTTTGCTTTTACATTTTGCGACTCATTTTATAAAAAAAAAAAAAAAAAAAAATCAATGAGATAGTTATTTGTGGTGAATGAAATACAGTTACACTTTCAAGCACTTTTAAGCACCACATCTGAAATGTAAGCAAGCACCCTTATGAACCCTGATACTGAATACACAGATGCTAAAAAAAATGGGTTCCAGAGTGTTTGGTAGTGTGGAAAGATTAAAATATCTTGGGAAGAGATCAAATTGACAAGTGAGAAAATAATTACTTAGTGAAAATAAATGAAAATATTCTATTGATAAACAGCGTGATAGTCAGAAAACTATAGGACTTTTAAATGGTGATTACATGGTAAGTCAAGAAAGCTTTGCAGGAGGTGTACATGTTTCCAGTGTGTCCTAGTGTAAGCTGTATAAGTGTCCAAATGTGTGGCTGTAAACACCCTAAGAAAGATTCTCTCCAATCTTTCTAAGATTTACATCACTTCAGTACCTAATCTGTGATGATCCTGGTATAATTCATCCATCTTTACACAAATGTTTCCATCCTCCACCTAAATGAATGTATCCAAGATACAAGAATTAAGATTACACTGATACACACAGTATTTTTCCTGAATCCCTGATGGTTGTGTTCAGAGAAGGGACATCGGGTGGTAAAGGTCCTAAAACATGATCAACTACTCCCCACTCACAATTTACCATTAGACTGGAGCACCATTAATCACACATTGCTTCATGCCATTGGATCAGGGCATAGATAGGATCAATGGTGAGATGTAAGTGAGGACTGCACTTCATTACATTCATGATAATGTTTTAGTTATTTATTAATTTGTAGATCTTAAAATCTATCCATTTTCTACCTTCACTCTTTGACCCTACCACAGCTGGGTCCCAGGAAACAGGTAGACAATGAAAAAAACAGAATCTGTGTTATGTGGTATTATAAAAGTCAAATCACTGTCAAAGTAATGTCTCTAATTCTGAAATGGCTCCTGAATGTAGTGCGAAATCGTTTGACTTATTTCTTAATTGGCATTATGACTTTTACTTGAGTAAAGAGTCGAAGTACTTGTTTCGTCACTTTGCCAAACAAAGACTCTTTTGGCTCTTGCGCAGTGTCATCTGTATTTGGCACAGGGCTGCACCTGAGCCTGAAAATCATGCCTAATCTTTCCTTTGACACCTGATTTTGTTTTTGATCACGTTTTTCTCATTTCCCGTTAAAAGAAAATTAGAAACAATCCCCAATCATAGAGCCGTTGTTACACAAGTTACCACACTGATGATGAAATGCCACAGCCCGCGCGCAGAATAACTTTACCGCTTTTTGGTTTCCAGAATAACACTCCGTGCATCTGTCCGGTCAGCCCGATGCAGCACACATGTTGCAGTTTGTCTCTGGGCAGGAGGCCAATGCACCGGTCCAGAGTGTCTATGATCCGACCCGTGTCCTGCTCTTTCGCCTGCGTTACACACAATCACACAGAGGTGTTTAGATTACTGAGCTGTAGTTAAAATTGCGGGACAAGTGAACGCACTCACCTTTATCCCGCTATCGTCGGCTAAATCAGAAACAGTCGGTAAAGACTGACTGGCAGCTATAGCTCTACATCGTCTGTCTAATAAAACGGCTTTTACCGAAGAGGTACCAACGTCCAAACCCAGGATAAAGTTAGACATGACTGATGTTTACGACGTGTACCTTGAGCTTTTTTCATACCGAAATGCCAAAGTCTACACTGCTGCATTCATGTGATTAAAGGAGTTTAAAGTTTCTTTGCTACTTAGATGGAATTTGCTGTTATAAAACTGCTGTTTTAGCCAAAAATGTGAAATAACGAATTTACATTTTGATGTAACATAGTGTCTCCTTCAATACAAATTCAAAGGTAGCTTCCCTGCTTAAACGTTATTCAGGGTAGATTAATTTCCTACTGTTTTACTGTCAAGGAACGCACCAAATCGGCTCCTCCTAAGGCTGACTACCTCCTTCCCACAATGCACTGCGCAGGAGCATGGCTGACTTTCGTATAGGAGTGTCATCCAAACGAGAATGAATGCACTTTTTCTTTTGGCGACAGCAGCTGACTTTTCCTGTAACTGCTTTAGATTCAGGTTTGCTAAGTAAATCTTGCATGTTATGTTTTTGTGACCGCGTCGTGAGGAGTCGACAGGAAGTCCCTACGTTAATCTCCGGTGAGAGCCTGTCATCGTCAGTGGGCAGCTGGGAGAGCTAGTGCTAGAATTAGCACTGGTAGAAATGTTAAAATAGTTCAGCTGACGTGCAGTTTAGCCCCCAATAGTATGACTCTGCTTTGTGTAGTTTGAAAACTCATGTCTGTGTCGTACAATTTTACCTTTTTATGTCAAAACGAGGATTTGAATCACCTTGAAGTTTGGCAATAGCTAAGCGAACCCGACTTGCTTTCTTTGTCACGCAGAGTGGAGAGCTTTAATGTGTCCAGATTTGTAGTTTTATGTTGATTCCACAGTGTCATGATGATCGGTAGTTTTTATTTTAATCTTTCTTTTTTAATACAATAACCTTCATTACCAGCAGTAAGATGGCCCTTAAATTATTCCTGGTGAAAATTGTCTGTCAATGGATTTTTAAAGTAAAACCGATCGTTCTCTGTTTTAAATGAGCTATTTTTGTTTTATTTCTATTTGGTGTTAATTCTATAAAGCATCCCGAGTCAGGATTTTTAGGATTTGAAATCATTAGTCTTACTATTCATCATGTTATTTCGATTTTGATTATTTATGAATTAAAAACCTCATTGTGCGAGGTACATAAACTCATAGTAGGTACTGTTGCTCTAACATTGTTGCCTTAATCTTTGATGTTACAGCAGCACCTTCTGTGGTAGCCGACCAGAGCCAAGATGGCTGGAGTTGGGGCCAAGCGCGAGGGACCACAGTTCATCAGTGAAGTGGCAGTGAGAGGCAACGCGGCAGTGCTGGATTACTGCCGCACCTCTGTGTCTGCACTCTCGGGAGCAACAGCCGGTATCCTTGGCCTGACGGGACTGTACGGCTTCATCTTTTATTTCCTATCATCCTTTCTCCTCTCGCTGCTGCTTATTCTCAAGGCCGGACGGCGGTGGAACAAATTCTTCAAATCACGGCGGCTGCTCTTTACCGGAGGCCTTGTCGGAGGCCTCTTCACATATGTCCTGTTCTGGACTTTCTTGTACGGGATGGTGCACGTATACTAGAACATCTACTCGAAATAACTCAGAAATATTTGTCTAATGCTCTGTAATTCTTTAGGTTTGTCTGCCCTGCTGTTGTAGATAGGCTGTTAGTGAAAGGCTTGCATTGTGAACTGTTTATTGATGTTGAACGATGAGTTAAGAGAATTAACTGTCCTTTTCTTTCCTCCATATTTACCAGAGAATGAACTCTAACCTGTACTTAGAGAACTATAGTTATAATGTAGGTTTACAGATCAAATCCTCACAAGTTAAACCAAGTCAGAAAACAGCAGATGTAATTACTGACTGGATTAAAGATCTCTCTAGAAGTTTTTTGGATCACTTTTTCTTCACTGGGGAGTGTCACTAATAATAATAAAATTATGATGACAAAAATATGTTTCCAATGACAAAGAACATTCAATAAATAGAAACAGGAACAGCAAACAATAAAGGGAGACTGCATTTCAGTTTCCATTTATTACACAGAGAATATGTCCATTTGGACTCGTAGTGCATGTCAGGCTGTATTCTTCAGTGTTGCCAGTGAATACTGTGTAAAAGCTTCGCATCAAAGCCATGATCAGTACAGTTAACTGAACATACAGCAGAAAGCAGCAACAGTGTTTGTGCATTTTAACAACACAATACATGTGTTGAGCTGTAAAAACACAATTAAGACCACACATTTTCTTATGAATTGCTTCTAAGTGTAGTTTTTAAAAACTTTCATGCCTACTTTTTTACTTTTATTACTATATATTGTAATTACTGTCACTGCTAATTACCAGTTGAGTGTTAATGAATCTGTTTTGAATCCTGACCCTGCTACTTTCTTTGATGTCCTGACATCATGCACTTTGCACAACATTTACATTCCCCTGGATCAACACATCTTCAGTCAGGGCATCATTCATGCTAGTGACCGTGCTAGCAGTTGTGCCAGCAGGTAAGACGTGGACGTCAGTCCCACCTTTGGGTTCCGCCTCATGCAGGAAAACAAACAGCTGATCTTGCTCTGCCTGCAGACCTAGTTGTGAGCCATGAAAGTGATATGATGCTTCGTCTCGGGGCCTTGGGGTGGAGCAGAGTATCGCTGTCCCGTGTTACGTGGAATTGTGGGACCCCTTTTCTCTGTAGGTGGCTGGCTCTCTGCAGAAGATCCTGCAGTGGGCTCAGTTTCTCCTGGGTTTTTGATGGAATTTGTAGCCCCTTTCTCTGTCCCTGGTCTTCTGGACCTCTTTTCCCGATGGCCCGCTTTCTCATCTTTAACTTTGGTCCTCTCTTTTCTGTTGCACACAGCATTAGAGAGGTGTGCGAAAGTGAGGAGCAAGATTTAGAAAATGGCAAAGGTTTTGCAAACATATGAAGTCCTACTTGAAGTTGATGATTTCAAATTTCCTCTCTCGGTAGTAGGAGCTCGTGTTCATCATGTACAATAATATCATATCACAGGCAAAGGCTCCCTAAAAGAGAAAAATAAACAAATGAACTGGAACAGGAGAGAATATTACTTTTCTTGGTGGGGATTACACATCATCCACTGTCCTGTAATATGACAGTTTTTGAACTTAGCACCGTGGTAATTGCACAGCAATAATCCACACATGCGTCAGCAGAATATTCTAATAAATTACTCACTGCACCGAGGAGAGCAACACCTGAGCCAATGGCAATTATTGTGGGGACAATATTGAATTTCCCGGCCTGTAAAACAATAACCAGAAACTCACTGTTAATCTCCCACCAGAATGATGTGCTTTAGAAAAGAACTAAACTGCTATTATCTCCACAGTACCTGACCATTGATCATTATATCAAAGCGAATCCCATACACTTTATACAACGTGCGATAGGTTTCCCCATTTTGATCCTTATAGTATCTGGCATATCTGTAGAAAAAATTGTTGACATAAGATGTAAAGGCTGAAAACAGGTTGGAAACAGTGAGCAGAGTGAAGGTAGTGGGTACCATACCTGAAGTTGTATCCCGATGTGATTGAGTTGTTCAAATTAATGTCCAAACGGGTGAAGCTGTACTGTGGATTACACAGAGAATAATCTTTATCCAGGTCACAGTTCCACTCAATGAGAATGCCAACAGAGCCGCCCTGATGGACACAAAGGGTAAATATTAATAGCAGATCAGCGGCTACACCACAAACCATACCGTACAGTGCTTTACAAAAAGTAAAACTTTTTAAACATAACATACCACGACCACAGAAGACATACGCAGATAAAATCAAGTTACATGAGGCTTTGGCAAGAAAATGCTTATTTTGAACATCTGTGTTCATTTGTAATGGGGCAGGGATAGCTCAGTAGGTAGAGTGGT